CTGCTCGGGGCTCGGCTCAGAGCCGGAGCGCTGCCAGCCCCGCCGCCCCGCTGGGCACGGACAATGGGGACGCGCTGTTCCCATGGGATGGGGCCAGGCGGCCCCCAGCACTGACACAGAGGGTTTGTATCCGACACAGTGGCAGATTCTCTTAAAGCCTTTTATTCACAGACATGATACAGACACATGGAAAACCGACAGGAGCACATCGGAGAGCACGAGCCCAGCCAGAGCGGTGCGGCCTCCAGCCGGGCCCTGGGGCTGAAGCCCACCCAGTGCACAAGGAAGCCGAAGTGTTTGAAGCGGACATTTTGTGGACATGCTACAGCAACAGAAGGAACCCAGCGCTCAGTATTCCTCCCCTTCCTCCTCGCCCTCCCCTTCCACCGAATCCACCCCCACCTCCTCGTAATCCTTCTCCAGGGCGGCCATGTCCTCCCGTGCCTCTGAGAACTCCCCCTCCTCCATGCCCTCCCCCACGTACCAGTGCACGAACGCCCGCTTGGCGGACATCAGGTCAAACTGGGGGTCGAGGCGGGGGCGGGGGGCGGCCGTGTTGCTCAGCATGCAGACGGCGCGCTGCACCTTGGCCAGGTCCCCCCCGGGCACCACCGTGGGCGGCTGGTAGTTGATGCCCACCTTGAAACCAGTGGGGCACCAGTCCACAAACTGGATGCTGCGCTTGGTCTTGATGGGGGCGATGGCGGCGTTGACATCCTTGGGCACCACGTCCCCGCGGTACAGCAGGCAGCACGCCATGTACTTGCCGTGCCGCGGGTCGCACTTCACCATCTGGTTGGCCGGCTCGAAGCAGGCGTTGGTGATCTCCGCCACCGAGAGCTGCTCGTGGTAAGCCTTCTCGGCAGAGATGACGGGGGCGTAGGTGGCCAGCGGGAAGTGGATGCGGGGGTACGGCACCAGGTTGGTCTGGAACTCCGTCAGGTCGACATTCAGAGCCCCGTCAAAGCGCAGCGAGGCCGTGATGGAGGACACGATCTGGCCGATCAGCCTATTGAGGTTGGTGTAGGTGGGCCTCTCGATGTCCAGGTTGCGGCGGCAGATGTCATAGATGGCCTCGTTGTCCACCATGAAGGCGCAGTCGGAGTGCTCCAGGGTGGTGTGGGTGGTGAGGATGGAGTTGTAGGGCTCCACCACGGCCGTGGAGACCTGTGGGGCTGGGTAGATGGAGAACTCCAGCTTGGACTTCTTGCCATAGTCGACAGAGAGGCGCTCCATGAGCAGGGAGGTGAAGCCAGAGCCGGTGCCACCCCCAAAGCTGTGGAAGACCAGGAAGCCCTGCAGCCCTGTGCACTGGTCAGCCTGGAAGAAGGGAAGACAAAACAAGACCAATCCATCAGTAATTCTGTATTTAAGCTGCTACAAAGTTGCCCAAGAAGGCAAATATTCTCAGGCCTTTGGGGACTCTTGTTTTGGGGACACAGGCAGGGGCAGGCACCCGCTCTGCTCCAGCCACAGCACCCCGTGCATCAACATGACTGGCCCATGGGAAAGGGGCCCCTTGGCACAGGGATTGGGGGACACTTGGCTCCTTCCTGCTGCAGGAGCCAGCCCTTGCAGCACCTGTGCCCAGCACCACCCTGGGGGGCTGCTTTGGGGAAGGGGAAACCCACAGGGCTTTACAGGAGCATGTTATGGCACCCAGAGCCGCCCTCCTGGGCATGGCCTGGGCAGGAGGCTGGCAGCCATCGAGGTCTGCTGGGCACCCACACTCCCCTCCCAGGGCATGAGCTACCCCAGACTTGGCACAGCTGCTCATAAGCACTTGGTCAAGCAGGATCAGAGCCCAGAACAAGGAGAAACCTCACATGACCCTAAAAAAGGGATAAAATCAGGTTTTCCCAAGGACAGAAATGAGCCAGCCTCCCGCCAAGCACCATCTTGCCCCAGGCACTCTCTGCCCTCGGGGTGCACCATCCTGGGCTTGCCACTGTGGGGGGTTTGTAGGGTACTGAGGAAGGGGACTCAGCCCATGGGGAGGGGCTGATCCTGATCTCCACTCACAGGATCCCAACACCACAGGGAGCCCCAAGCTGGTGCAGGGTGTCAAGGACCACAAAATACACCTGGACCCTGGAGGCACAGCCCAGCTCTCCACTGCTGTCCAGGCTCCACCAGAGGGGTCCCCTTTTCCCACCAGCTGTGGGGGTGCTAGCCCCCCCCCCCCACTGGTTTGTACCCACCAGCTTGCGGATGCGGTCGAGGACCAGGTCGATGATCTCCTTCCCGATGGTGTAGTGCCCACGGGCGTAGTTGTTGGCCGCATCCTCCTTGCCCGTGATCAGCTGCTCGGGGTGGAAGAGCTGCCGGTACGTCCCCGTGCGCACCTCGTCTGCGGGGAGAGCCCACCCCCCCCGGTAGCGCCCCGTGG